AATTTCTCATTCCTGACATCAGTCTGGCCCTGTTTCAGCTAGGTGGGTCACTTTATGAGTGAATCAACAGACAAAAGTTGTGTGTTTCTGCCTCACAAATTGCTGAAATAACAGATTTTAAATGTTCTAACTGCAAAAATAGCACATGTGAGATGAAGAACATGTTGACTCTCCTGACATTATCATTCTACAATGATATATCAAAAATCATAGTGGTTCCCATAAATATAATTAATACCAACTAGAAACAAAGAAACATCAAACAACAACAACAACAAGCTGGTCTGCTTGATGAAGGAAGCAAATATGATTTTTGGCCCAGAAAACCAAAGGAATAATTTTGTGGAATAAAGTTCACAGAGCCTTATTTCTCTAGAACTGACAATAGGATTAACTGGGTTGGCTCAGGTGTAATTTACAGGATGTGAATGAATGAAAACAGGAGCCAGGATAATTTAAGTACCAAAGCGATCCCTTTAGGCTTTCATGAAACATGTTATTTTCATTTCCCCCCGCTTTACAGAGTTACTTCACACAAACTGGAAACTTTTTCTGCAGAGTGTTGGATAGTAAATATTTGAGACTTGAAGAACATATGGTCTCTGCTGAAGTGCTCCACTCTGTGCCTGTTGCAGCAAGGAAGTGGTCACATACAATATGTAAACGAATGGCTGTGGTGCATTTCAGATGACCTAGATCCATCAGCGCAGCCAGCTGGCCACATCTGGCCTGTGGACGTTGGTTTGCTGGCCACTGCTTCATAGAGCAATTGTGGCAATTAGGAATTTGTTCCAATGTTTTACACTTTTTACTGAAATTATTACACAACTAATTTTTGTTTAAGAACACTGTTCTTGATGTGTCACTGACATTTAACAGGATGAAATTTATGATAGCGGCGACAGAGAGTAAAGGAAGACACATGTTCATTAACTGAGTATCTGCCTCTACTGATAACAGTTTCAATAATTACTTTGAGAAAATGGACAGAAGCTTGTGAGGAATCTATGTGACACAGTTGTAGTCCTTTGGTCATTAATGTGTTCTATCCAAAATAAACAGCTCCTATAAATTGTAGGCAGTTGAATACTTTTGTATTGAATAATATCAATCATTTCACATGAACAGGTACTAGATGGGACTGTTCCTGCTTCTTATCTCTTCTTCCAGCTGTTTCAGTGAATCCAGTTGCACCATCTAACGTGAACAGGAAGGTATGGAATAGGGTCCCCAGGGAATGGCAATAGCATGGAAGACACCTCCCATCCCAACATCTCCCCTGTCATCAGGTCTCAGAACGCTCACGGTTACCTCAGCAGAAATCCATAAAAGCACCTTCTCTATTTGCCTATGTGTTGCTTGATGCCCCCAACTAAAGTGTGAAATCCATAAAGAAGGTTGTTGCTTGTCTTGTTCATTTAAGATCTACTTATTTTTGTTTTGATTCACATTAAAATAAATGTTATACTCTCTGAAGGCCGTTATTGTCTGGTTTTCTTTCCCCATGGCACCTATCATAGGTAGGTTATTAATTGTGGATGGCCTAAATATGTTTATTTCGAATTGGTTAGATGGATTGGGTTTTCCTAAGTGCTTTCAATAATGGGGTTTGGGTGTAGTGAGGCTGAATACTATCCATTTTGATAGATTAGATGTCCTTTAGGCTGATGGATAACCGTAGGCCTCGTTGTAGAAGTTTACAGACAACTTCACTGACCTGACTCTTGGCTGCCTCCCAAATTCATGTTAGTGTTCCCACATGAGTTTCCAGTTCTACTGATCCATTTGGAAGAGCAAATAGAAAAGCAAATTGATTTTAACTTGAGTGCCAATTCTCATGGATTGGAAGTGGCTGTTCAGAGCATTCAGGTGAGTAATATTCTGGAGCTACATCTGAGGTCAGCGGAACAGCGACTGCTGTGGAGAATTAGTGGTGGCGTTTGTGAGAGAGGCGAGGCTGGGCAGGGATACACATACCTCCCATTTCACATCTTTCACAAGAGTTACAGACAATTTTCTAAAGTAATTTTTCCAAAAGCAAGTATATTACTATCATTTAAACAAAACACAAGTGCTTCCCCTTTGCATGCAAGTGGGCATTTACTTTGTACTTTGCACTGTTCCTTTTGTCTGCTAGAATATAAATGTATCATATCCCTCAACCTTCCATGAAGTATTGATATATCTCATTTGATCCAATTCTTACAGCCAAACAGCCATAAAAATTAAAAATTCAATCAACCATACATCTCAATTCTTTTTTATGTTAACTTTTAAATAGTTATCTAATAGTTACAGGAAAAGCAAATGTTATCTGATGAAATATTAACTATATACTGGAAAATAGGGAAACAATTGAATGACAATGAAAATGACATTAATACCAGATAATGTCTGGGCATTTTTTCTGTCATTACATTATTTATTGTGGATGACAATGTTTTAATGGCCATCTGTTTAATATCCAAAGTGCTGCATGCCATTAAGGCACTAATTTGCTATCAGATGCAATAAAAAGGGATGCATGCAACTTATGTTCCAACCACGTCCTTATGTTAGAAAATATGAAATAAAAATGCCTCACAGGTGGTAGGAGTTATATGTGATCATTGTGAGAGTTACTTTCGATTGTAAAAATTCTGATTCCATTTATACTGCTCTATTTTCATGCCACTAGGTGTGAAATCTGTGATATGGAGTTTGGAGTCTATTAGCCCAGAACAGAGAGATGGTGTTAAGCCATGACGCAAAGACCTGTATCTGCACAGTCTGAAAATACAAAACTAAGTTCATGATCTAAGAAATGATCACTATCACTTAAATCCACTGACTCGGTTTGGAATCAGAGGATAAAACACTCAGGTCACAGTGATGTCATGGACTAATTATTTCAATTATTATTTGCTGGAATATCTTGACATACATCATAACTAAATTATTCTCTACAGAGTGGGAAATCATTTTTTAATCAACCAAAGGTAAAATCAAATCATCAAAAATAATCCCACTATCAATTCCCAGAAAGCGGGCATTCTTTAAAAAATTAAATGAACATAAGACCAGTTAAATTCCATGAAGGACAGCTGGCAAACACTTAAAGGTTTCCACACACAACTACAAACACGGGTGAATACAAACACACCACATTATTTTTCTTTGCTTTATTGTGAGAAATTTTTTGCAAGTTCATACCTATTTGAAGTCTGGAGTTTGTCAACCATTGAAGTACTCAGAAATAGTCTTGGTCATATTTACATAATATGAAGTGTTAAATGTTTACTTCATAGTGAGACTGGAAAATAACTTTTTTTCCTGTTTTTTTTTATTTGACAGGTAGAGTTATAGACAGTGAGAGAGAGACAGAGAAAAAGGCCTTCCTTCCGTTGGTTCACCCCCCAAATAGTCGCCACAACTGACACTGCGCTGATCCGAAGCCAGGAGCCAGGAGCTTCCTCCTGGTTTCCCATGGGGTGCAAGGGCCCAAGCACTTGGGCCATCCTTCACTGCCCTCCCGGGCCACAGCAGAGAGCTAGACTGCAAAAGGGGCAACTGAGACCAGAACCTGGCACCTATATGGGTTGCCAGCGCCACAGGTGGAGGATTAACCAAGTGAGTCACTACAGCCGCCCCTGGAAAATAACTTCTTAAAACTTCAAGTGATGGCTCTAATTTCAACCTTTCTCTGATCACACATTTTAATGCATTTTCAAAGTTGGGTCATGAAATAGTTGAGTACATATATCATATATTTTGCATTTTATTATAAGAGTTACACCCCAGGGCCAGTGCTGTGGCACAGTAGGTTAATCCTCTGCCTGTGGTACTGGCGTCCCGTATGGATGTCGGTTCTAGTCCCAGCTGCTCCTCTTCTGATCCAGCTCTCTGCTATGGCCTGGGAAAGCAGAAGATGGCCCAAGTCCTTGGGTCCCAGCACCCATGTGTTTAGATCCAGAGGAGGCTCCTGGATCCTAGCTTTGGATCAGCCCAGCTCTGACAGTTTGAGCCATTTGGGGAGTGGACCAGTAGATGGAAAACCTTTCTCTGTGTCTCTCCCTCTCACTGTTTATAAATCTACCTGTCAAATAAATAAATAAAAATTTTAAAGTGTTAACACACCTCAACTTCCAAAAATATTTCAGATCTTGTATCCTCATGATCATATTCTATGAATGTATCCTAATCTTTTTTTATATGTCTCTCCTGAAATTTGATGTTTATAGTAGCATAAATTTAATGGCAAGAAAAATGTGTACAATCCATGTATATACCAGTCAGGGAACAAACTCCAAAAGCCCACTATCTAAATCTGATAAAAATGCAACATAAGATTAATATTTATGTAGTAAATATTCTGAAGGATATGCAGATTATATATTCGTTAAGTAATGCTAAAATCTATTTTTGGATTAAATCACACAATTATGAAGTTCCCATAGGATTATCTTAATTGCTTTGTGTTTTGGACAACATAGGATCAGATTAAATTCAAGAACATTAAATAAATAGTCTTTGGAAATTTGCCACTCCTTTTCCTTTATTTGTAGTTGAAAATGTTTGTAATTATATCATTTATGGAAATAAACCACTTTTGAATCTGAGTGCAGTAATTTTGTTGTGGGGCTGGCATTGTGGCTTAGCAGGTAAAGCTGCCACCTGAAAAGCCAGCATCCCAATAGTTCATGTCCCAGCTGCTCCACTTCTTGTCCATCACCCAGCTAATGGTCCGGGGAAAGCAGTGGAAGATGGCCCAAGTGCTTGGACCCCTGCCAGCCACATGGGAGACCTAGAGGAAGCTCCTGGCTCCTAACTTTGGCCTGGCCCAGTGCTGGGTGTTGTGACCATCTGAGGAGCGAACTAGCAGTTGAAAGATATCTCTCTTTCTCTCTCTCTCTCTCTCTCTATGTTTCTCCTTCCATCTGTATAATTCTGACTTTCAAAATAAATGAATAAATCCTTAAAAATATAGAAATAAATAAATTTTGGAGCATATTTTAACTTACCTGATGGAGGAGACCAGCATATCATCATGTCACAGGTTGTATGTCTAAGGACCACAGAAACTAATATCATTTACTTCCTTAATTTCTTTGTTGAGTTAAAATATTTATCTACAGCAGCATCGATGTCAAGGAAAATGTTGGTAGTTAATAAAAAAAAGGTAGTTGGATATATTTGTGCACATCAACACCAGAAGGAAAATTCATCTAGATTTTGTAAAATTACCCCTCTGGATGAATGTTTTGACCACAAGCTAAATATATACTTATTGAATGCTATAACAAGCATGTAGCTATAGCATAGTACTTCTCCAAAACTTAGGGTGTACTAGGGAGAGAGAGAAGGTCCTACGTGGATAGTCACAGTGACATGTGCAAAGTGCAATGGGAGAATGGACCAAGTATATTTAGCAAGATTGGCATAAAAGGTCTGGAGCAAATGACTGTAAGGAGTGAGTAAAAATAAGACAAAGAAAGGAAAGGTTTGAAGTATTCTAAGGAAAGATATTATGATTGCTAATAGGGTTGTAGCAAAAAGCAAGATGTGATTCCTGGTGGGGAAGTATGAGAAGGCAGTCCGGAGCTGCTGAGACCTGTGGGAATATGCTTCCTCTTCTTCTTGCCTTCTAATGAGCTGCCTGCTTCAGTTATCACTGTCACTAGAAATCCCACCCTAAATACCAAGGCTTTCCTTTTCCCCATGACTCTGTGGGTCGGAAGCAAATCCTAGCTCATCTCAGCTGACAACTCACACAGAGGTTGTCATGTTGCACCATGGCTGGGTTTAAGGAGTCCGCCATATTTCATTCACTCCAGCCAGTTGGTTCTGGCTGTCATCTTGGACACTTTGAATTTCCTCCAGAATCACTTACCACCAAGATGCTAGACTGGTGTTTCCACAGACCAGTGGTCAGCAGGAACCATGAGGTCAGTAGTAGAATCCCTAAGATGTCTGGAGGTGGGGACCTAGAGCTTGAATTAAGTCTCCTTTTCAAATTCTGCTGCCCAAATCACATCACAGGCCAATTCAGATTCCAGAGGAAGGAACAGGCTACACCGCTCGATTACGAGGCAAGAACTGAGGAGCCTGACACACTGACAACAATCTCTCACACTGTCACTCACGACCCAGTAATGCATCTGAAATGGCACCGAGATTGCATGAGAGCAGAAAGCACCATTAGAGGAAATTATCAGATCTCCAGAAGTGAAAAGATTTTAGAGGAAGTAAGTAAAAGCGAGGATGGAGGGGAAATTTAAAATGTTCCTGAAACACGGGAATATGTATTTTAGCCATTCATATAGAGGAATTATTTGCAGTAATTCAGAGCACATATAAGGGTACATCAAAAAGTCTGAGGAAAAAATAAAATTAAAAGATAAGTTTAATTTGATAAAAATATTTTTGAAATCCAAGCATAATTTTTTTATAATATGCACTTTACATAAACTTTTTGAAAATCCCTCATGAGTCACAGATATACAAAGTTGGCAGTCCAGAGCCAAATTTTATGGAAAGGTAATTGCTCCAAACTTTAATTTGAAATTTGAAAAAATATACGTTTTTGAGGCTTTCTTTTTTCAAAGTAATAATACACTTAATGTATGCCAACATAAAAACATTAATAAAAATATTATTTAATGAAACTTGTAGCATACCTTTCAAAAGGAATGAAGACTAAAAAAGAAAATATAATTCTTAACAATTGTTGCAGTTTCAATTATAAAATAAGGCTTATTTGCTTTACTTATTTAAAATGCATGCTCTGAAAAGTAAACTTTATTATCTTCACTTTAAAAATGAGAAAACTGAAATTAGGTTACTTGCCAGAAGCCTGGTCTATCTTATTCTAAATGAGCTATAGCAGGAAACATAATTTGGTCCCAGTCCGAGGATTGAAAAGACAGAGCATATGGACTGAGAACACTTTCCAAATTATTTTTCCTTCAGTTGACACTGAACCAGCAAACAAGCAGCTCAGGAGACACCCACACAACTAAAGGATACCAAGAAGAGGAAGCCGCTCATCACACGGTGTATCTGAAGTTCAGCAGTCAGGGTGCAATTTGGGGCCCTCTGAGTTAGAAGAACCCAGCAATTGGATGTCCACTGTATTAGCCTACACTGCTCTGAAAAGAGGCCTCATCAGCTCTCAAAAATCTGCCTACTACTACCACAAAGGGGTATTGCTTTTATATATGCGATACTCTTCTGGGCTCTTTTTAAAATTCTTCCTCCCTCCTTCCAATCCTTCCTCCCTCCCTCCCTCCCTTCCTCCCTTTCTTCCTTTCTTCTTTTCTTCCTTTCCTTTCTTTTCCTTTATTCTTTCTTTTCTTCTTTCCCTCTTTCTTAGGCAGAGCCAGAGAGAGACAGAGACAGAGAGAGAGATTCCATCTGCTAGTTCGCTCCCCAAATAGCCACAACAGCTGAGGCTAGGGTAGGTGGAAGCCAGGAGCCAGAAACTCCATCCTGTGCTCACAAATGCATGGCAGGAACCCAAGCACTTGGGTAATCTTCCAGTGCCTTCCCAGACTCATCATTGGGAAGCTGATCAGAAGCAGAGCACCCAGGACTTGGCCCCACTCTTGAACATGGGATCCAGGTATCACCAGTGTCAGCTTAACCCTCTGCACCAAAACGCCTGCCCTTCTGGGTTCTGTTACCTGGTCTCCAATTCTGAAAACTGTATGTTTGCTAAAACACTAAATTCTTTCCCAATGGAAAATTCCATAATTTGTATATCCCCAATTAACTTTGAACTTATTTCCATAATAAACAAACTTCTTCCAAAATATTGGAAACATCTCATTTCATAGTCCTGTGTGTTACAATAACAATAAAGTCCATAAAAAACATGTTCACTAAAAAAGATATCTGTTATGATGACTTAAAGGATTTATGGAATTATTTACCCTGGAATCATGATTTAAAATTGCTTAAGAGGGAGCATTATATAATAAAATAATTTAAGCACAGATGAGAAACCCATGTCCTCAAATACTTTTAAGATTTCTTTCTTGAATTTGAAAGTATTTCTGTAACATCTAATGGCAAAATGAATATTGCCTTTCCAAGTCACTTAAATTCCACAATATGACAAAAAGCAAACACTGACCTTTCCTGGATTTGAACACACAGATTAAAGCCTTCCTTATTTGTGAGTCCTTGCTTCTTGGACTGTCTCCAGGGAAGCTCCACTTCACCACAGATTGAGTGTGTTAACCTGTTGCCCTCCAGACAATTCGTCTCTATGGAACTCGACTCATTCATCCTCAAAGTCACCTTTTCCTTCACAGCCACACAAGCAGAGAAGTTTTTATACTGAAAGAGAATTAATCATGTGTTTGTCAGATGGCACCGAGAGTAAGTCATTTGATATCATGGAGCAAACTATTAGCTAAAGTTAGTTCCTATCAGGAGAGTTTTAAAATATGATGTTACTCATGTGTTTCCTTAATGACAGACAGGGTGGATTGCAAGGTGAACTGTTTTAATTTTCAACTTGCACAAAACAACACTGAACCTCAAAAGCTTTTTAATGTAACTCTGCTCTATCAAGAAGGCAATCCAATATAGAGAAAATATTTACTATATTACAATCAGGAGGAACTATTTAAGGTCATATACATAGATGATAATACTCTGGTAGATAATAATTTATTTTAATCAATTAAAACTTTACTTCATTTTAGCTTAGATTATGAGCAGTTTAGATTATTTATTATTTTATGTCAACTTTGTTTTAACTAGAAAATGACGTTTTATCTTTTTCCTCATAATATGAGCTCCTAAGTATATGGAAATTTATGTAAGCAAATTTACTGTCTTTAAACTTGTCCCATGAGATAGAAGAGAAATAATTTGAAAGAGAATTCAATAAACTATACTTCTCTTTAAATAGCCTAAGGAGAAATGGAAACATGGATTTTAGCCAAGGAAAGAGAAAGAGTAATGGGAAAATAAATTAATTTTAGAAGCTATAAAGAAATAAGTACCAGTAATTGGTCGATATAATATCAGAGTAATTTAGAAATACACATTTTAAACATTTTTAAAGAAATGAACCCTTAGGAGCTTCCAGCATCCATGCCTAGCCTGTTACAGACACATTATCATACAATCATTTTTTGCATATCTCTGGCCACTTTGACTTCCAGGAGACATCTGTATCACTATCAGTGAGTCAAGTTATTCAGAATGAGTGTACCAGACCAAGAGAAATATGGAATTATAATTCTCAAAATTGTATTTCTTTTTTATTTTGACAAAACCACAAGATTTCATTACTGCAAGACTGCTACAAGGAGCCTTATTATTCTTGGAACCATTATTAAGAGTTTCACTTGCCTAGTTCTTGCCCCTTCACATGTGAATAATTAATATGAATCAATTGCAATCAAGGACATTGTTCTGTATTATCACAAATGCACCCAATAAACCAGGCAATTAACATCTAATCCAAAGGCTCCACTCACATTTTTGCCAATCTTCTCAATAATGTCTTCGATGGTACAAGGGACCAAGTCAGTATCAATTTTTACATTTAGCTGTCATTAGCATTTAGTACTCTTTATTCTTGAGCTGTTGAGATTCATGACCCTGATATTGTGAAGATTACACACCAATTGCTTTACAGGATGTATCTCAGATTACATTTACCTGATAGGTACTCATTTTAAAATTTGGATTATACAAATATTTCCCATGGGCATATGATAGAAAGGAGAGTGTGTCTTTCCTAATACATCCTACCAGGCAATACTCAGTTTCACTTTGCTCCATCCATTATGAGGTGAGTGTTAATGATTTGGTTAAACTGTTCTCTGCCAATTCTCTCCATGGCAGGTTAACAATTTTGTCCTTTTAAGAATTTTTCCAGAATCAATTTAAGATTATTCCATTCCCCATCAAAATACCACCCACTAGGTTAATATCTACTTATATTTCTCAAATGAATTAATTAATACTGTGTTTATAGCCAAATAGTGATTGTCTAATTCCATCATACCATCTACATTTTTACATTGGTGTGCCATTTAAAAAAGTCTTTCTCCTCTAATAATTAGTTCATTGATGCATTTATTTTATTATTTTTATTTATTATTTAACTGCTTATAATCCATCACCATAATTATTTGTTTTGCTCTGCAGATTATCCTCTTTGCTAAACCTATCAATCTGGCTTCCTGTTCTTATTTTTAAAGACATTTATTTATTTGAAAGTCAGAATGATATATCAGAGACAAAAAGAAAAAGAAAGAGAGACATTTTTCCATCACTTTCCAAATGACCACAACAGACAACGGGACAGGCTGAAGCCAGAAGCCAGAAACTCCATCTGGATCTCCCATGTGGGTGACAAGAGCATAGCACAAGGGGCATCCTCTGTTGATTTTGGAGAAACATTATCCGGGAGCCGGACTAGAGGAAGAGCAGCTGAGACTCGAACTGGCACTCTGCTATTAGATGCTCGTGTCTCAAGCAGTGGTTTATAATCCGCTGTGTCACAATGCTGGCTTCATGTTGCTTTCTACCACTTTTTTTGAGAAATTCATTATTTTTTGTAAAATAAGATATTCCAAGCTCATTTATATCTTCTCTATGCCAATTTTTTATGCAGACATTTCTTCAATGAGCTTTGGGTTTTATTCTAATAAGTAATAGTGTTTTAAAAATCAAGAGGGGGACACTAGGTGTAATCACTCTGATTGTGTTACTGATTTTCCTAGACCTTGCCAAGCTTTCAAAAGACTCAGCTGAAGAGTGTACTTTCTCCTCCCTCCCATATACTTGTAGTTCTGTATTCAAAACCGTGAGTTCCCACTGACACCTCAAATTCAAGGTCAGCATCATGGAAATCTAGTTTCTTCGCTTTTCACATCTTCTTTGAAAAAGAGAAACCTGACTTCCATCAACCTTAATATTCATATTTACATATTTAACAATGTAAGTGACATCTCGTCACCTCTGCAGTCCCTGCTTTGAAGACGCCCTTCTCACCTGCATAGCCCCTGGATTAGCCAATTTTTTGTGACTCATTATATGATTGAGGCTGTCATAGTTCAGGGACAGGACTGAGGGTCTGCACCTGGTGATGGTGGCCTTCTTGCTGGTAGAGTCCTGAGGCAGCCATGAGAGTTTCGCAGGTATGGAAAGCCAAGACACTCTGGCAGAGAGAAAGAAAGAAAGAAAGAAAGAAAGAAAGAAAGAAAGAAAGAAAGAAAGAAAGAAAGAAAGAAAGAAAGAGAGAATTTGTTTTGTTTAGCTTATTATTGTTGTAATGAGGAGAGTAATGACTTTCAAGTCTTTTCATTTCAGAAATGATACTTGAAAGAACTTCCACTTTGACTATGACATTGTCTAAATAAGATCGGCATTGGAGCCTCGGGTGATTACTGACGCCATAAACAAGAGTGTCAATTGTTAAATCAACAACAGGAGTCACTGTGCATCTACTCCTCATGTAGAATCTCTGTCCTTAATGTGTTGTACTATGTGAATTAGCGGTATAACTAATACTCAAACAGTACTTTACACTTTGTGTTTCTGTGTGGGTGCAAACTGTTGAAAACCTTACTTAGTATATACTAAATTGATCTTCTGTATATAAAGATAATTAAAAATGAATTTTGATGTGAATGGGATGGGAGAGGGAGCGGGAGATGGGATGGTTGCGGGTGGGAGGGAGGTTATGGGGAGAAAAAGCTGCTATAATCCAAAAGCTGTACTTTGGAAATTTATATTTATTAAATAAAAGTTAAAAAAAATAAAAGTTAATAGAAAAGAAAGAAAGAAAGAAAGAAAGAAAGAAAGAAAGAAAGACCTAAATGAAAGATCTCTGTGAGTGAGATCCCAGCAGAAAGAAGGGGCCATCAAAAAGGAGGTACCTTTCTCTGAAGGGAGGAGAGAACTTCCACTTTGACTATGGCCTTGTCTAAATAAGATCAGAATTGGTGAACTCAAGAGGCTTCCATAGCTTTGGCAACTGATGACAAGAGCCTCGGGTAATTACTGACGTCATAAGAGTTTCAATTGTTAATCAACAATGGGAGTCACTGTGTACCTATTCCCCATGTAGGACCTCTGTCCTTAATGTGTTGTACTATGTGAATTAATGGTAAAATTACTACTCGAAGAGTACTTTATACTTTGTGTATCTATATCGATGCAAACTGTTGAAATCTTCGGTTAGTATATACTAAGTTGATCTTCTATATATAAAGATAATTGAAAATGAATCTTGATGAAGAATGGGATGGGAGAGGGATTGGGTGATGGGATGGTTGCGGGTGGGAGGGAAAAGCCACTATAATCCAAAAGTTGTAATTTCAAAATTTATATTTATTAAATATAAGTTAGAAAAATAGAATCCTGCGGCAGCTGACACCGCATGCAGAGATCAAGGAAGACATGTGCGTCTTCTCATCTTGCTCCCTCCTATAAGGCCAGCAGTATTCAGTGACAGGGATTCCACCACCATAAGCTTTCCAATCTTCATCAATTCCTTAAGGCCCAGCTCACATATCATTGTCAGAGCAAGTTCCCACGACCTTAACACCTCACAGAGGGGATCGGGTTTCAACACAGGAACACACATACCCTAGGGGAGCACCATGCACCAGCCATAGCTGCCTGCAACACTCGGTGCCAGGCAGCATCTGCTTGGCTCTGACACTCCTTGCAGGCTGCCTCCTGCTGCCACCCCACTGGGTACACAACCTCTGCCCTCTGCTCAGGCTCTTGGTTGCTGGACTGCACTACCCTCACTACCCCTAAACAAAGGGATATTCTTCAGAATTAACTATACAGGAAAAGGGGGTTAATGGCAGGAAAACAGACACGTGGAAAAACTATAGAGAGCAGCAGTATGTTTTGAGAGCAAAAGTTTGTGGAGCAAATTAATTGTTCTCACTTGAACTTTTTTTTTTTTTTTTTGAACTTTCTGTCAGCAAGGTGCTACGAGTGGCTGTTTCTTAGCATGGATGCTGTTCATTATGCTGGTATTAAAGAAAAAGCGGCCGGCGCCGCGGCTCACTAGGCTAATCCTCCGCCTTGCGGCGCCGGCACACCAGGTTCTAGTACCGGTCGGGGCGCTGGATTCTGTCCCGGTTGCCCCTCTTCCAGGCCAGCTCTCTGCTGTGGCCAGGGAGTGCAGTGGAGGATGGCCCAAGTGCTTGGGCCCTGCACCCCATGGGAGACCAGGAGAAGCACCTGGCTCCTGCCATTGGATCAGCGCGCCAGCCGTGGCAGCCTAAAAAAAAAAAAAAAAAAAAAAAAAAAAAAAAAGCAGTGGTCTATAGGCCAGGGTAGAAGCCTATCAGTTCACATTCCCAGGGTGAAGGCAGGTTTCTCAGTTTGCCAATTCTCATACGTCTCTCATTCTACAACCTGCAAACAGCAGCAGTCTCAATGGCAAGAGACAAACATTGTCTCTGACTCTTTGTTTCCCACTGTCACTGTTCAGTGATCAGACAACCTAGTATACAATAGTTGATAAGTGATGGAGATTTCATGATCACAGAGACCTCCATATTGAATTATATTATTATTATAATTGAAAGAGTCATAAAGGATTGCAATCACAGAGGTAGATAACATTTCTGAAAATTTTCCTTTGGTTTTGTCACTGGGTAGCTAAGATGACTTTTCAAAATATCTGTTAAATCACAGTTTGCCAATGACTGTGTGCTCTGTCTTGTAAAAGTCCAGTACTGGGGGGAGCAATCCACTTGGCCTAATTTTTAAGCACTTTGCCTAATGCAAGCAAAGGTATATGTTTCCATGTGTCCCACTCACACAACAAATCCCTAAGGCCATGGTCAGGCTTTCAACTCTGTTATAATCAGTAACAGAGTAAGTAGTAATCTTTAAAAATATCTTTCTGGCACTGGCTGGAATAGATACTTTAGTGTTGTGAGACTATCTGGTTTTTGTTGAACCATTTTCTGAAGAGATGATAAATTGAGTTTTCATAACAACCTCATACAAAGTAACAGGCAAAACTGTGTTCCTAATTTTCAATCAGCTTATTTACAAAGTATACATAGAAGGATATTGCAGTTTGAATGGAGGAAACTATTTGCCAAACTTACTGTTCTACTGAGATTGATATTTAAAACCATCAGCTAGGGAAATACTATATGAAAATTTTGAGAATCAATGAAGCCCAGTTTTTAGATCAAGTTAAAATACTTTTGAATCTGCAACTTTAAGATGTAATTATTAAGTTATTTTGAATGCATGTCCTAGTGTGATAACACTTGCCAACAAGAATATGGCTCATAACACCAGTTCTATTGCATTGAATTGAATGCATAAAAAAAAAAGCTAAAACACTCTATTCTGCACTAGCTGGAACTTACTTTTTAAAAGTCAGACTTTATCATGTAAAAACATATCCTGGATTTTTTGATATATTTTCTAACTGTAGGAATTTCTAATTGCAATTATATATTATATAGGAGGAGGAAATTAATTAGTAACAATGAATGAATGAAAATTAATATGTCCATTAGAGTTGAATGTTGTATCTTTACATCAGGACAAGCAGTGGGAGTGAGAACAGCACAAGGATTAGAGTAAAATTATTCTGGGTTCTAAATCCAAACTCTGGTACTTACTAGCTCTGTATCCTTAGGCAAGTTAATTATCATCATTTTCCACATCTGTGAAGGGAATAATATGAGTATTTTCCAAATGGGATTGGGGTGAAGTGTCACAAAGTGATGTATGTAAACAAGATAGCAGAGTGCCTGGGGATACGTTTGGGTCAATACGACACCTTACTAATATTAATAACTTCGCCAGTTAGGAAATTGTTCAGATACTATCAGCTTTGTACACCATGTACTAGCAACACAAAATTAATTCACAATCTCTTCTTTCTTCCTTCAATGCCATCTGGGCTGTGATGCCTGAAGATTATCCTTTCTATTTCCCTTCTATCTAGAGCTTATCGTGAGAGCTCGTTGTAGCCACTGGGGAAAAAGATTTCTGGAAAGACGGACAGTCTTAAAGTGCTGTTTTCAAGAGATTGAAGGGGTAGTAAAAGGAGGAAACATGAATTGACGATGGTATTTTTAGATACAATATGAAAAGCAATATAGTAGCATCCATATGAATTTCAGTTCAAGAAACTTTTATCCAGATGGTTTTGCAGCCTTATTACTTTTAGAAACAACATTCTAATTTAACTCAACAGACTCCTCATCTAGCCCTCATTTCTTTCTTCTTCAGAGAATAGAATGCTCAAACCAGCTAACCAACCAGATACCTGTTCTTCAAGCATCCTTTCTACATCCATGCCTCCTTATGGTCTCTAACCCTAATAATCATAGCTTGAAATAGACTCAGTCTCAAAAAGGCCCCCAATGAGAAGACCATCTTCAACAAGACACCAGAACTGTCACAAGCGTTCTCTCTAGCCTTCTTACTGTAAGTAGCTAGTAATGTGATTTCTAAGTACTGGTCTCCCTTATAAACAGCAAGCAGTAAACTTGTCCTTGCAATATGAAAAGGATATTTTAGTGGACTTTTTAAGACTTAGTCAATAAATACTAAGTCAAAGCCTAGAGCCAGGAAGTCAATTCAGGTCTCCCATATGGGTAGCAAGGATCCAAGTCCTTGAGTTATTTTCTAATGGCTGCACATTAGCAGGAAGCTGGATTCAAGAGTGAATCTGGTTAATGAAGCCAAGCACTGTGATACAGGTTGCATATGCTCCAACTGGTGTCTTAACCACTAGACCACACACCCACCCTGATTCCATTTCATCTGCATAAGGAGATTGTGCAAGGCAAACTTTAAAAAGCATATACTATTTTTATGTACCCTCATTCCTACAATGCATTGGGTGTATGACCCAGGATACAATAAGTGATTTGGTCTCAGTTTCTACATATATAAAATTGCTGTACCTAACTTACTTAGTTTTTGTAGAAAAGATAAGCATAACATTATCAAACAAATGTAGGAACAATCTTAGTTAAAATGATGATGAACTCAATGACTTATACCTTTCTACAATATTTCAGAGCTTCTTGTTTTACTTAGATTTTTCCCTTCCAAATCTAAGTTGCCTACTTAAGTTTGATTCTGCTCTGAATCACTCTTTTGATTTTCAACCATAAAAAATGTTAATCCTCTGTGAATCTGCAAAAGTTTGATGTTAATTCCTATTAAAATATTGATGACTATCAAAGTTTAAAATGTTGTTCTGCCTTAAGGGGTATGCAAGTCCAATGTGATATCTAATGACTATTGGAAAGATAACAAATTTCATCTTTGTCAAGGAAGAAAGCATTTTGCTCGCTGAAGTTGAAGTCATACTAGCAAACATGTTTTTGTTGGTGTATAACGCTAATGCATGTATAATACATGGTTATAAGGCATTTACATGCACAGAGTCCTGTTGCATGAGTATTATCAGTCTGCATGAGACCAAAGCATTCACATTCAGATGTACCAGAACTACAGTGAAATAAACTTTGGGCATTTTGCTTTATAAAGTTCGTGACTGACTTGACTCTGCAAGTTGATCACTTCATTGATTTCCTATTGTCTGAATATATCCACTCTCCCTACTCCTTTTACTTACAGCAACACAGCAATAATGCAACCCAAAGAAACTGCTCAAAATATTCTTTTTCTTGTATAAATAGATTTTAAAAACCAGATCCTATGTGTTTGCATATTTAGTTTTAGACATTTTCATGAGTGATTAGTTATATGTATGGTATTTGAAAAGAGTAAGACATGATGTGAAATAGATCTGCACTGGGTCAACGAATTTAGAATTTGTTTTGATTCATCCTGTCTTGGTTTAGAGTAATACTTTTGTAAAAGGTTTATTTATCCATTTGTGACAATCCAAAATGTCTCTAAACATCACAAACAGTTCACTGGGGTTGCATACCTTCAGCTGATAACCACTCCTTCACTTCTGGCATCTTTGCAGTTATGTCTCATTTGTTTATGTCACACACTTCTGAGCAAGTATCCATATTTTATTACCTACATTTAATTTTTTATTTGTGAATCCTCTAGCACTGATGTGAGGTGTTCACATTTGCATAAGTACAGGTGCCAGAGAGCATAAGGAAAAGCTGGCTCCCAATGACCAAAACAAAACAAAACAAAACAAAAAAAAACAGCCAAAAAAATGGCTCATTCCCTCCATGATGCCTATGTCTTCTCCCTGTTACTCAGTGCTTCTCCTCAGTCTGACTGATTTTAGTCTCTGTTCACCCTGAGTTCATGGCTCCTACATACGCTTGGGTTCTACTGCCTAAAAGCTTCTGCCCAAGGCCCTTGCTCTGTTTCTGTCATTCTCAGCTTCTCTATTTCTCTCACTGACTCCCACAGTAAAGATGACCTTAGTGCATCTCTTCCTGTCAATACATAGAAGTATATATTGGCAGTCTGCAGGAATGCCTCCAGAGGAATGCATTTTAGGACAGAATTGTGGCTTTGGCTGCTCAGTTCATTTCTTGTAAAGCTTCCTGTAACTATTTCTCTCGATACAAATTTAGGTCAAGAGAGGCATCCTGAGTTTTCTCAGATTTAGGGTGTTATCTCAGGCAGATAGCAGAGCTAAGACTTAGGCCTTAGCTTCTTCCCACTTGGAAATCAAAAGCTCAAGAAAAGAACGTCATTTTACCCTTGGACTTTGTCGAATCTTGTGAGTAATGACTCTTCGTTTCTCTGTCCCTCTTCCTGTGAATGACTTCTTTATAGGAAGAGGAATTTGACAATCTTTCCTTCGTGTACAAGGACAGTAATGCTTAGCAGGCTATTGTCTTTTGGGACTATTCCTTCATTGCAAATAATAATGAAGGAATTTCTTCTGTGCAAAGAAGCCATTATCATCCAGTGTTAGCAGACAAATAACAGCAAGTACCACACCACCAAAGGACCCCTACTCAGCAGGAATAGCACTGTTGCTTCTACATAATCATTCTTCCTAGTTAGCATGAATTTGGAACTTGTCATTTCACTCTTTGTGATTCATGGAGACATACATAACAGAATGTTAAAGAGAAATCTAATCTCCTACCCAGTTTGAAAACTTTCTTGTTGTTTGTTTTAAAATCAAAATAATAATAACTGTGATTTTGAAGTTAATGACAATTATTCTAATATTTCTTATTAACTGGGAACCAGACACTGTGTTGTCCTTGTTAGTTAGAAAATTTAGTTCACTGGGTTGGCATTGTGGCATGGTAGGTAAAGCAGCTGCCTGCAACACCTGCATCCCACATTGGTGCCAGTTCATGTCCCAGCTGCTACACTTCAGATCCAGCATCCTGGTAATGGTCTGAGAAAGCATCAAAAGATGGACCAAGTTTTTGGGCCCCTGCCACCCATGCGGGAGACCAGGAAGAAGTTTCTGGCTCCTGGCTTTGGCCTGATGCAGCTCTGGTCAATGATGCCATTTGGTGATTGAACCAGTGGATAGTAGAGTCTCTTTATGTCTCTCCTTATCTCTATATAACTATGACTATCAAAAAACAAATCTAAAATAATTAATTCAGTAAGTAATACTCTAATAGGTAATATTTAAACCAGCACCCATGTTTGTGAATCTGTGATTCTTACAGTATTCAATAGTCAGTAAGCACATTCATTCATACATTTTGCCATAAGTAATTATCATAGGCATTACTAATGCACATTCAGTGTTTTTTTCAGGTAGGCAACTTGGATATCATATTGGTCTTTCAAATCCGCCCACCTATTTTTTTTTTTTTATTTTTTAGGTTAGAGTATATTTTTGCAAAATTAGGTAAAGCAGAGAAGAAGAAAAATAATGATTAGTCATGCAACTACCCATTGAAAATTGTGAAATGAAAACAGTAAAGGAAACAAATGCTAAAAACATCAACTAGGATTCTGATCAAAAAGCTAGTAAACACTATGTATATTTTCAAAATTCCTTATTTCATTTAGAATTACAGCTGGATGCTTTTAGCAGCCAATTCTAATGTTTTCTGATTTCACTATCATTGTCAGTCATTATTTTGTGCACGAGGAAAGGAGTATGTGTTTTTGTGTATTTTTTCTGGATATCCTCACTTTTTAAACATCTTCACTTCTATTTTTCAGTGAAGAAATATTATGTTTATTTTCAAATTGCTTGTTTTGCTTTCCTTTCCTACTGTTACCAGTGAAAATCCTTGAGATCCAGAAAATCTAAAACAAATTCCAAATTTGTCTAAAACTTTTGCCATGAATGTACAGGGATTTGACATCCCTGGATAACCTCCACGATAAACTGGCAAATGTGCCAAGTTCATGTGCCAGCCAAGAAAGCAATGGAATGATTCACTTGGGTTTTATATAGAATATCTATATTGAAAAGGGAGAAAATGTTGCTCTCATGGTTAAAAATAAAGTGAATACCCAGTGAGGTTAATGATGCAAAACAAAATTAATTGTCGATGGTAGCCTTTATGTCTTTTTTTGATAACCTATTCTAAAAGTCTAGAACATTGCCTTAAACACAGTAAATTATCGAGAAATAGTGAATGGCTAGTTATTAAAATTATTTATTTATTAAAGCATATTAAGCATTAAAATAAGGAAAAGTAAGAAATGACTTGGTTAAAAATTTTAGCTTTAGATATGAGAAAAAACGTCTAAATTTACAAGCCAAATGAAAACACGATATGGACTCCTAAAAACTACTGGGGAAATGGGAGGATGTGCACAGACATGTAGGAATGCCTTCTCAAGGTCTGCTCCTGTCGACATGTGAATTATTTTAGGGGTTAAAGCTATAAAATTCCGTATGTTGAAGAGAAGTGAGAGTTATAGACATGGAATGCACTGATTTCCAGTTTTCACCTTTATTTTAATAAAATGCAGAAGGATATTAAAATTCCATCCTAAGTTTTTCCCATCAAAACATGCAAATTACCCTTTCAGGTCTTTAACTACACTGAGATATAGGACCTAACAGGTTGTGAAATGAAATATAATTATGAGCCAAGGGCATTTTTCTTTCAAAACCTTTATAACATAAAACTTTAAAATGTTTTATGACTCTTCTGTATAAGTAGTCACTAAACTTTTAAAAAGCAAGGTACTTTTTACAGATTATTTTAAAATTTCTAACTTGTGAAAATGGAGACAGAATCTGTACTCAAAAGTTGTTATTCACATAAACCACTTAATCTCTTTTGCATAGTTTTGTTTCACAGTCCATCTTTGCTTCTGAATGAAGTATTATGAGTAGTATTACTACTCCAGGTAATAAGTAAATTCTAAAGTAGTATTACTACTCTAGATTATCATCATCATGAATGGATGAATGACAGGTAGATAAGATAGTTTATGTTATTTCTTAATGTACAATGAGTGTTTTCATTTTGTTATTATTTTTCTCATGATCTGATGATTTCCTGGCTGATCAAGGACTTCCATCGGCAGCTTGGGATGAGCTGAGAAAGGGAGGTGAGCAGTGTATAGAATTACATGTAGATTTGCAGAATATGTCATGCTTTGGGTATGACATGAGTGTGTTCCAGTGGGTTCATGGATGGCAGTGTGTTGATGTTAAGGGTGGTGAGGTCTAGTAGAAGGCTGTTTGGTCATTGAGAGCACTGCTATGGAAAGGATCAAGGTAGTTCTCAGGAACTCTGGTTAGTTCCTCAGAGATGGTTGCTAGAAAAGGGCCAGATGGGCCCCGCACTTCTCCCCAAGCCTCCCTGTCGCACCATGTGATCCCTCCCTGTTGCATGCACTCCCCTCACAATGCCATCTGCTATGTGGCCCTCACAAGAGCAGGCCCTTTGTTGTTTAGACTCTCAGCCTCCAGAACTGTGAGCTAAATAAACCTCTGTATAATTACTCAGCATCAGTATTATCAAAGCAATGGGCAAATAATCTAATACAGGTTCTTAAATGTAAAATGGGATAACGTACATAAATATATATATATATATCCTTTCTTCATTCATTTGTGTATCAACAGCTAAGCTTTTCTTACTATCACTTATCTTAAAAAAACAATTTATGTATAGAATTATTTATTCTATCTTTGAAAAAAGATCATAGGAGAACATAATATAGTAAAAATTTCTGCAAGAATGTTTACAAGATGATGATAATAGGGAGAAGGAAGTAAATTATATGGTGTATTTATAATGTACTGCCATATTTTTCTCTGGGCTTTTTTCTAGGAGGAGAGAATTTCTTGAGGACAAGTACATAAGAGTAACAGATACCAGAGAGAAGAGTATTACATTTAAGTCTGCATAGAGACAGCCTCTTGTGTTGTCCTGCACACATTTCCCAGAATCTTCAAAGATGATCATAGCAACTTGTTCATTGAGCAAAAAATCATACTGAGAAAGCCTCTTAGGTTTATATTTATTAGTCCATCTAAAGTTGCAAATGAAGTGGATGCCCATTTGAAAGTTAATGAACATTTCGGGAGATCCTATGCTAGAACCAAGCTCCATCAGGACTAGCTGAGAACACACGACCAGGAAGCTAACCAGAGAACAAAGTACTCATAGCAGTGTTCTTAATGTCAGCAATATTGGTTGAGCTAAATAACTTAGGAAACTTTCTAAGAACTCAATTATGATTTTAAAAAGATGGAAACATGAATTATTTGTAAGCTGCAATCAACAATGACAATAGAGCAAACAATGGCCCAACAAACAAAGCTGTTGACTTCAATACCAGCATGGGGCCTAAGAGGTGTTCTCTCAGGGACAGAATCACAAGAATGAGGAGGAGTTTAAGCAAGAAACTTGAATGCTTTCATTTAAATGAAAGCTGGCATGTCTATAAATAGATGGACTAATTATTAGATAGGAATAAATTTGATATGTGTCGGCAAAAATATGTTTTTTCTAACAGCGGATCTAAGTACCGATGGCTGTTCTACTTCTGATCCAGCTCCCTACTAATTCACCTTGGAAAGCAATGGAGATGACCCAAGTGCTTGGACACCTGCCACTCAAGTGAGAGGCCCAATGCAGTTCTGGACTCCTGGTTTCAGCCTGGCCCTGTACCAACCTTTTTAACCATTTGAGAAGTGAACCAGTGGATGGAAGATCTCTCCCTCTCTCTGTCTCTGTCTCTGTCTTTCTCTCTCTCACACACACACACACACAAATTGCTTTTCAAATAAGTAAATTATTCTTTTTTAATGAAATACCAACATTTGCACTCTTGGGTTAACATTAGCATTCTTAATTGTCAATTTTCTAAAAACAAACACTTTAGTAAAAATGCCTTATTTAAAAAGTCCATTGTTTCAAGGGATGAAGGCTATTGCAATAGGAAAAACACAGTGACTTCAAGTTGTGGTTTCAAGGTCCTATAGAAAAATCCTTCTTCAACCAGGAGAGGGAAACAGTGCTAACAGGATGTTTGAAGGAAATGAAGCACGAGAATGCAGCTGAGCAGATGGCATGACGGTAGCATCTTACAGGAAATGCTTTCTCCTTTTGGTCATGTGATTCTTAGAACAAGACGTTAAGAAGAGATATTCTTTATATTATCACATGCTTAAAAGCTTAGGTATTGTGGTACAGCAGGTTAAGCCCTTGCTTACAACACTGATATTCCCTCTCAGAGGGCTGGTTCAAATCCTCGCTGCTCTGTTTCTAACCCACCTCCCAACTAATCCACCTGGGAAAGCAGTGGAAGATGACTCAAATACTTGGTCCCCTGCCACCCATGTAGGATACTGGACAGAAGTTCCTGGCTCCTAACTTCAGCACGGCCTGGGTCTGGCATTTGTGGCCACTTGAGGACTGAACCAGAGGCCAGATCTCTCCTTGTCTCTCTACCTTGCAGATAAATAAATAAATACTCAAAAACACAAAATAAATAAACAAAAGCTTAGATATAAGTAAAGTTTAGGGGTTTGTGGATATAGAACAAATTTGGTTACAATTTAGTCAATTCAAGTCAATGTCCAAGAAAGGAGCAATTGTGAGCACCTGGATTTAGTGTGAGCTCATGTTTTCAAATAAATAAATGGGAAATAAATGCAGGTATGTGTGTATGTGTGCAAGCAGCTGTGAATACTTGCTGGCATTGTCAGTGGAGTGGGGCTAGAAACCAGGACACCCTAGAGCTAGGAACATGAGTAGCACTCGGATATCACTTCCTAAAAACTAATCTCCAATAAGATTAGTATGAGGACTATTTGGGAAACAAATGGCTGAAATCATGACAGGAGAAGAAAAAATACATGAGAAATCTGGAAAATATATGAGGCAGTAGATGAGAAAATGATAAAAAAAAATACTGGCTTGATACTGACAAACCAGCTTGAAGGAGCTCCCAATAATAAAACCTGAGAGAACCTGGACCAAAAAATTAATGAATTGTATGCATTGGAATGAAATATCCATGCATGAGTTCGCACCAATAGGAGTAAATGAATGAATAAAAGAACAAACAGGGTAAAGCGGAAAGCTCTTCCAAATAGTTAAATTCCAGCAATGATAATATGGATATCATCATTAGGCAAACTTCACAGTGCTTGTTAATATGGAAAAAAACCATCCATACATAAGTAATAACATTTGAGGGTAAAATGTGCACGATAAGGAACAGAAATTTTCTATAGTCTTGTTAGCTGACCTCCTGGCAAACTTATTATTATTATTATTATTACCTAAAGTGTAAAATAATGAGTTCACTGAGAAGAAACTCAGCAGATATTTGCCAATCAAATTTGGAGAAAATATCCATTGTTTCTTCTGTCGGTTTGCCAAGCCATCTATAAAATAAAATCTCATAAAGATCCCTCTATCCACAGTTGTTATTTGTTTATTAAAGTCTGTAATCACCATTTGATTTTCTTGTGTGTCCTCAAATGGCAGTCGCCTCCCCATCCACCCTCTATATCTACCTAGTGGGCTCTTTTCTTCCTTGGTGATCTTGACAGATGACTCCGCAAATGTGACTGGGTGGGGATTCATGGCATTTTCCCCAGCAGCGGCGTCTCAGGGAAGGCGTCTAGCCCCTAAGCCCCTAGCCACCACACGTCCTCCAGCACCAGAGGCCCACAGCCAGAAGACTCGGGCACCACGGCCGCGGTGGATGCCGATGAAAACCGGGTAGAAGCAGGAGGAAGCTCGAAGAGGCGGCGGCGCGGTCTGCGTGCTAGGGTGCGGTGCGGGCCGGGTTTCGTGTCCTGCCATTTGGGAAGCCGACAGGTGTCTCTGGGAAGGGGAATTCTCTCTCTGCCTGTGCATCTGTGAGGTAACAAGTAAGTGAAGCTTTATCAAAACACACACACACACAAACTTACAGGCAAGATTCCTTGCAGCTTGAAGGCTCGTGCCCTATGCCTTCCATGAAGGACCTCCGGGCCTCCGGAGAAGCTAAGGCAGCTCTCGCCACCGCGGCCCCTCCTGACCTCCACTCAGCCTCGGCGCCCCTAGCCCAGGACCCCCGAGCCACTGGCCACACACCCTGCGCTTGGGCTTCACCTGAAACACCGGAGCGGCCCCGGGCGGCTTCTTCAGCACCACGGACAGCGCCACGGGCCGCCTGGTGCCTGGGCGGGCAGCTTGGCCTGCGTGTGCCGCAGAGAACCACAGCAGCTTTAGGGGTGGACTCGTGCTCCTGCGAGCGACCCTGGCCGCCCTCCAGGTAAAGGAGGGTCCAGACAGGACAGGTCCTTGCTGGGCCAGCTCCCCGGGGCCCGGCTGCTGCGGTCTCCTCTGGGGAGCGCACGTTAGCTGGGCTTCTCAAAAAGGAGACAATAGGGCTTAGATCATTGCAGCACTGTGATTTTATCTTCTATCTATCTATCTATCTATCTATCTATCTATCTATCTATCTATCTATCTATCTATCCGAGAGAAAGAGAGAGAAAGAAAATCTTACATCTGTGTGGGGAGCAATTCCGGACTAGACTGAGTTACTGGAATTAAGACTTATTCTATGCATCTGCTCTCCCACAATATGGCGCTGGGAAAGAAGAAAACAGCTTCTGCACAGCTGCCTCCAGTTCAGCCAATAAACTGTAGGACTTGCTCCTGATTGGAGGAGAGCAGCGTACTCGGCGTGTGGGCAGCCGAGTTAGGATTGGTGGAAGAGGACTATAAAGGAGGAGAGAGACGGCATGCACCGGGAACATCTAAGGGGAACATCTAAGGGGAACACCTGTGCAGCCCCCGAGAGAGCCGGCCGGCGGTGTGCCGCTCCCCTGCGGAAGTGGGGAATGTGGCAGGGGGAACTGCCCTTCCACGGAGGTGGAAGGGACAGTAGCCAACCCGGGAAGAACCAGCAGCAAACCCGGGGAGGGCCGAGCAGACGAAAGAACAGCGCAGGGTCCTGTGTCGCTCCTCCACGAAGAGGGGGAGCGACATAATGGTGCCGTGACTCGGATATGAAGCCTAGGCAGGGCTTAGTGTCGTTCCTCCATGAAGAGGGGGAGCGACACATCTGCTGTTTCACTCCCCAGATGGCTGCAACAATGAGCAATGAGCCAGGTCGAAGACAGGAGCTAGGAGCTTCCTTAGGTCTCCCCCTTCGGTGCAAGGGTCCAAGTACTAAAGCCACTTTCAGCTCCTTCTCTCAGGCTGTTAACAGGGAGCTGGAAAGGAAGTGGAGCAGCTGGGACTTCAACGGCAGCCCATATCGGATTCCAGCATTACAGGCTTTGGTGTTACCCATTATGGGTCAACGCCATGTTTTATATATTTTAGTGATCTTGTTGTCTTATTTGCTTTTCATTTTTAATTAATTTAAATATAATATTTCCATATTTATGTGGTACAGTATTATCATTTGGATCCTTGTGATGTGTATGCTGATATAAGTAGAATGAGAAACATTTCAAACTGTTCAAAAACATTTTGACCACCTGAGGCTAATTGTGTGTTCCTGGTTGATTTCAATAGAATGGAGACCATTATAACTTGTCCATCTCTATCAGGAGAGCGTCACTTTTTGTTGAGCCACCTTCTCTGTCCTCCACTTGCTGTGAGTCTGGTTACCAGAGAAGAAAGTCACAGCCTGCCTGCTGTCCAATACTGTATTCATGTCTTTGGCTCTGGTTAGCGTTGCTTCTTCTGTGGGAATAAGTGGGCAAGTTTCTTCATTTATTGCAAGCAATATCTATCCAAATTATTTCATGAACCATTAGGAGATCCTAATGAAGGAGATCAATGTTATTCTCTGTAAGGAAATACAGACTGCAAAAGTTTCCCTCTTTACTGTATTTTGAGGGAGTAGAAGTTGGGTACTGCACTTCTCCTTAAAATGAATCTAAGGATGGATGCTAGCTGTAGCATAGTTTTATCAGATACCTCAAGTGTTCCTTGAGCACACAACACAACTTCATAAAATGATTTCAAATATTTTCTCAATCCTGATTTGATATGTCCCTGGAGCTTTAGCAATGTTGCAGGTTGAAGCAACATGAAAATGGTCTATTTTTTATGCACCTGTGTGTATCCACATACATTTTAGTCATTTTCAGCACAACTATTAGTCATTGATCATGAGTATTCACCTGAATATCTCAAGACGAAAAGAGGCAGATGTAAGATATAAGAAAACTAGCCTTGGATAAATGACACAATCTTCTCAATGGCTTCAAAATATTTAAGTGGAAGTTTGGCCCAAATTATGTGCTCTTTCCATTTCATCCATACTCCTGAAAGTAATATAGTACACATTTTTTTTTTCTTTTCCTAATATATCATTCAGGATTTCAAGCTTACAACAAGCAGAACTTGGGAACAATCATTTCAATCTAGCCAATAAAATATTGGTAGAAACATGAAGCCTCATGAAAACTCACTTTAGAAAAAGCTTAAATTTAAAATCTATTATTTCAAAACCAAATAAAAGAAAGTAAGAGAGGAAGGGTAAGAAGGAGAGAGGAAGAGGGAGGAAGGCGGAAAGAGAATATTATATTCTTAGATTTGTTATATTACATTACATTCTTAGACTTGAGCTATACTGAATCTGTTAAAAACTAATTAAAAATTTTAAAAAAGATTTAATAAACTGAACATTCTACTGAAGTGACAAAATATAAAAAATAAAAACAAGAAAAAAATCTTAAAATTCCATACATAGCACAGCATAGTAGCTTGGAAATTTTATTGCTATACTATGGCTAGGAAGATGAATTTACAGGGGGAAATAGCTCTCCTCTGACTGAAATACAAGATCTTTATCAACCAAAGGATGTAGCAGGTTCAACTGGTCTTTGCAGACTTTGCTTGGGTTAACTCATACTTGTCCAGAGAAGATTTTATTTTTGCCTTCCAAATGGCCAGGATTATCAAAATCTTTTGTTAAACTGCTGTTTCCTTATACTGATAATCTGAGAGTTAATTTCATTTTGATACATGAGACTTTTTCTATCACCTCTCACTCCTCTACCAAAAAGAATATGCTCATTTAGGAGCACGGGAATAATGAATTTCTAATTGTCAATCCACCTGGAAATTTGGTGTAGAACCAGCATACTCAAGAAGTGCATTGGTATTGTTTTAAATTATTTCTTTTCTATCCATTAGATAGTCTTACATGTGTAAGTAAAACTAAGAGAATTGGGCAACACATTGCAAGTCCAGGACATCATATCCACAAGTGAAACTATCCATGGAAATTAAACACTTGATCTTAGCCCAAAGATCAAGAGGAAATACAGATACAGAAATAGATACTGATGGATACAGAGATATGGGAACTGAAACAGTGAATGGTATGACGGCAACACTTAGAATTGTGGCTACTCAAATAACTCAAGTAGAGTAGAGCAAATTTGAGAAGAGGGGTCAGAAATTAGTACACATTTGTGTGTGAGAAATTGAATGTTTTTTGTGTTGGACTACTTGGTATGTAAGGGTGCATGGGCTAAACACTGTGTACCACCACCTGGTGGAGCTCCTAGATATCAGGACAGAAAACGTGTAGTATGAATTGAATCATTTGAAAACTGCATTTTTTTGTTTAAATAAATATCAAGTCTGTGTTCTAAGAAATAAAATACTTAATTGTCATGATCAAAGATCGAATAACTGACATTGAAGAAAAAAAGTGAGAAGAATCTTAATACATCAGATTAAAAGAAGAAATACATGGGAAAACAAAAAGAAAGAAGGTAGATGATGTGGAGAACAAATTAGTAGATGTCTACACCTTTGTATTTTTCAGAAGAAAACTGAACACTAAGTCTAGAATACAATAAAATTTAACAAAATGTCTTAATGAAGATCATAGAATAAAAGATTCAGTATAGTTCATTTAATAGTTTTTTTTTTTTTTTTTTTGACAGGCAGAGTTAGACAGTTAGAGAAAGAGGGACAAGAGAAAGGTCTTCCTTCCATTGGTTCACCCCCCAAATGGTCGCTTCGGCCAGCTCGCTACGCCGATCCAAAGCCAGGAACCAGGTGCTTCCTCCTGGTTTCCCTTGTGGGTGCAGGGCCCAAGCACTTGGGCCATCCTCCACTGCCTTTCTAGGCCATAGTAGAGAGCTGGACTGGAAGAGGAGCAAGCAGGACAGAACCCGGTGCCCCAACTGGGACTAGAACCTGGGGTGCTAGTGCCACAGGCAGAGGATTAGCCAAGTGATCCATGGCGCCGGCCAATTTAATAGGTTTTAAATGAATTTTTCCTTCCCTTCTCCTTCAGAGATTCCTATAATAAGAACATGTATTTACTTAATGGAGTCCCATATTTTTCGTAGTCTTTATTCTTGATTCTTAATTATTCTCTCTTTATTTTTGACTGTACTACTTATTTATTTTTGTATTTCATATATACAATTTTAAGTACATAATGCTTCCTATATTTTTTCTCTCC